TTACTGTTTTATGCTGACTTGACTGATGCTTAAAACATTGTAGAGATACAAGAAAATACTGGAAAAAATAAATTAAAAAATAAAGTAACAAAAATAGCCCAAGACCAAGCTCTGTAAAACAATTATGACTGTAAAATAATTATGATAAAACAATTTATAACAGAAAATTCCAACTTGAACTTTGGGTCCAGACTGTGTTTATTGGCAAATAGTGCAGGATGTTTGAAGCACAGTTTGTGTGTGTTTAAACTGGCAGTACTGATCCTTCCATGTATTTGTTCCTGATTATTTATTAACTTAGAATGTGCATCCATTCTTTATTCCTTCATATGTTTAGGTATTAAGCACCTATTATGGGTCAAGGTTTGAATCAGGATTGGGAAGAAGGTAATGATTATGATGACCTCAAGCCACAACCTAAATAAATTTACAGATTAGTATTGGGGAAAAGACAAAGAATAGATGTACATTTATTTTCTGTGGTGCCAATATTATTTACTGACAGCCTCATTAATACCAGACACCAGTGTGTACTTGGTGAAACACATCTACTTTAAGATATGCAATAAATACATGAAAGGATGAGACAGGGAGAAAAATATAGGGGAAGTACCAAATTGTCCCAGAAGGTAAATGCAGGGTCTGCTGATGGAGTTACGCAGATGGAGGATTTGATAACTGTCTTGTAGCGGGACAATCAGAGCTGGGAGAGACCGAACAGAGTTCAGGAGAGCCTTTATTAAGGTGATTACCTGGCCCAGTAGGACTAGCGTCCAGGAAAGTCCGAGCCCCGAACAAAAACAGCAGCCACCTTTTAAACAGTCAGTGGTGGGAATTACTTGATGCAGGAAGCATACTTACAGAAGCGAGAAGAAAGGCAGTTGTTACCCCATGTCTTACATCCCCGGAAATACATGGTTCTGTAACATATACTTATCAATCTTATGACCTTGCAGCTGTGCTGTGAGGTAAGCAAGAATTCGCAGAGCTCTAAGGAATGTGAAACTGGGGAGTATAGATAAGGCTCACTGAGCACAGAAGGAGCACAGGCTGTTAATATTAGGGTGGGGGGAGCGGGGAGAGGGTGGCGGGGTGCTACATTATACTAAGCCCTGAGGGGAAAGTTAATTTTCTGGCTTCACATATTGTAAAATTCATTTATTTCCTCTTCAGTCTCAGTGAGGAGAAAACCAAGAGTGTGTAACTGATTCTATTTACCCCATATCCTTCTTCGTGCAATTCTTGTAATTTTTACTTTTGCCTACAGTATAAAAACTGCCTATGGGGTTATTGTCCTTTCAAGAGTCTGTAGTGTTTTACAGCAATTCCATCAGGATAGAAAATGTTGTCTTTTATATATACTCCTTTACTGTTTCTCAGGTTCATCCCTGGACCTGCACTATGATTCCTGCACAGACTGAAGGAGTTCCCTTAGAACTGGTGGTCATGTAGGTTGTGGGCAATAAAAATTCTTATAGCTTTGCATGTTTCTAAGATTACTTTGATTTTCATCCTCATCTTTGAAGGATATTTTCATAGGATATAGCATGAAGTGTTTTTTTTTTCTTCAGCACTTTACGGACAATTTTCCATTCGTGTTAGGCCTTCGTTTTTTTGGATGAGAAGTCAGGGGGTCTTTTTTCTCCTCTTTCTCCACTGTCCGTGATGTGTCTGTTTTTGTCTGGCTACGTTCAACGACTGAGCTGGATGCCAAGGGTGTTAAGGGGCCATTCATAGTCACTGCTGTGTGTTAATAAGTTTGGAGAGTGAGGAATAATAAAACATAGTCACTGCTATTTGGCAAATGTCTGGTGATCTTGCCTCATGCATGCAAAGCCCAGCTCTCAGCTGTAAGTATACAGAGGCCCTGACACAGACTTTATCATTACACAATACTTATACATATTTTGGGGGTACATGCAGTATTTTGATACATGCATACAATGTATAACAATAAACGAGGACAATTGGGACTTCATCACCCGAAACCTTCACCCATGTTGGGAACATTCCAATTCCTCTCCTCCAGCAATTTTGAATTATACCACAAAATATTGCTAGCTATAGTTGTTCTATTATACTGTCAAACACTAGATCTTATCCCCTCTGTCCAGTTGCATTTTTGTACCTGGGAACAAACCTCTCTTCCCCTGTCCCTTCCCAGCCTCTGGAAGCCACCAGTCAACTCTCTACCTCCATGAGATCCACAGTTTTAGTTCCCACATATGAATGAGAACATGTAATATGTGTCTTTCAGTCCCTGGCTTATTTCACTTAATATAATGCCCCCAGTTTGGCAGTGTCTGGAATTATTTTTGTTCATTACAACTGGTTGTGGGGGCTGGAGAGTGTTAGCAGGTTTGCACCTAGCATCTAGTGGCTGGAGGTCAGGGATGCTGCTCAATATCCTACAGTTGAGAAGCAGGAATCCCTCCTATGGGCCTCCCAAGAATGGCACTTCTTTTATTTAAGGATGCTGAATATAGTCCCCCAGTCTCTCCTGGCTTATATGGTTTCTATCTTTACACTTTCGTGAGTTTCATCTCCAAGGACTCTAGCAGGTTCTCACAGTGAAGATCTGAGAAAAGTCCCCAGCTGGTTCTGGCAGGGGAAGAGGAAGAGTAGCCATTTTGAAATATACCAGAGCATTCTGTTCAATGCTCTGGAGAGAAACCATTTTACCAGAGCCTACCATCTTGGCGTTTTATCAGTGTCCAAATGACTTAGAAGAAGGAAAATAAACTCTGGTCCCCTCTTGCCATCCTGTCCCACTTAAGGGGAAGGAGGGTTTTACTGAGAAGCACTTGTGAAATTCATAGTCCCTGGGCACAGGATAAGAGACTGAAACCTTTGGGAGGCCGAGGCGGGCGGATCATGAGGTCAGGAGATCAAGACCATCCTGGCTAACGTGGTGAAACCCCATCTTTACTAAAAATACAAAAAATTAGCTGGGCATGGTGGTGGGTGCCTGTCGGCCCAGCTACTTGGGAGGCTGAGGCAGGCGAATGGCATGAACCCGGGAGGCGGAGCTTGCAGTGAGCCAAGATTGCACCATTGCACTCCAGCCTGGGTGACAGAGCGAGACGCAGTCTCAAAAAAACAAAAAACAAAACAAAACAAAACAAAAGACTGAAACCTTACCATTAAGACTTCTTGAAACCATTAATTGGGAGGTCATTAGGCTGAGATGGCTCCAGTATCCTGAATTCTTAACCTAAGAAAACCCAAACCCAACTCAGTGTAACTGGCCTTAACCAATCAGAAACCACCAATTAACCTCCTACTATTGGCTTTCCACTGGAATGAGCCAAATAAGGCTCTACACTAACCAATCAAGTATTTTCTTTGTCTTGTTTCTGAGTTCAGCCTGTAAAAGCCTTTCCCTCATGCCTCTTCAGAGGGGCCCTAAGCTGCATGTGGTCTGGCAATGCCCAATTCATGAACTGCTGTCTGCTTAAAGAAACTCTTTAAAATTTTAATGTGCCTAAGTTTATATGTTTTTTGCAGACTATAGAACACTTCCCCTCTCACAACCAAATCTTATCACCATGTTACTAAAGACCTATCATGCAGCTTATTTTACCAAGTACATCACATTCAGCTATCAGGAAAAAAAATCACAAGGCACTCTAATAGGCGAAAAACACAGCTTGAAGATTTTACTTAACTCATTAATGAGAAAAACTGGTGACGTGAACTAATTCATAAGAGAACACTTCCTCTAGCTGAAAAAAAAGTCATATTTATAGATCAAGAATATTAAAGTGGCTGGCTGCAGTGGCTCATGCCTGTAATCGCAGCACTTTGGTAGGTCAATGTGGGAGGATCACTTGAGGCCAAGAGTTTGAGACCAGCCTGGGTAACATAGTGAGATCTCACCTATACTTAAAAAATTAGCCGGGCATGGTGGTGCGCACCTGTAGTTCCAGCTACTCAGGAGGCTGAGGCAGGAAGATAGTTTCAATCCAGGATGTCAAGAGGTTGTGGCTGCAGTGAGCTATGATGGTGCCACTGCACTTCAGTGTTGGCAACAGAGTGAGACGCTGTTTAACAACAACAACAAAAAAATTTAATTAAAATGATGTGCAGTAGCAAAAGAGGCAAAAACTGGCCTCCTCCCAAATGGAGATGGAGGAGGGAAGTAAACTGAGCCTCCTCCAATTTACTTTTGTATAAACAAGAAGTAATTTGAACTGCCATCAGCGATCCGCAATGTGAGTTGATAAACAGCTCAAAACAATGACAAAGTAGAATCAAATGACCCGGAAGCCCGTAATCTAAATAATGCACTGACGCACAATTTCTCCATTCATTGCTTATTTTGTGCCAGGCACATTTATGAACACTTAATCCTCACAACACCATTAGCTGAGAAATATTGTTCCATTGCCACAAGAGCAACTGAAGCTCATAAAGATTAAACAATAAAAAGTCACACAGCAGACACACTCTACAGCTCAAGTGTCAACAAAACACCCACAGAGCTGCACATAGGGTCACACATCAAATCACACAACCTCATGGAGAATGGGCCTAACCTCACAGAGAATGGGGCCAATCAGATACACCAAAGCAGACGCCCGGCGGTCCCACTCACCTCTAATAACACTTTCCCAAACTTAAGACGCACATGTCCGCGCCAATGTATTATCATAGGCCTTTCCCCACCTCTTAAAGCCTCCCACGATTCATCCCTCAGAAGGCAACCGCTTGGTTCTCTGTGCGCAGGCGCAGCGTTCTCTCAACGCCTCCAACGGGCACAAAGCCACGCCCCCAAGGCAGAGCTCACGCACGCGTACTCAATCACCAGCGGAACCGCCTCCACCGCGCTCGGCGTCGAAGTCCTACGGGACGTCAGTACGCATGCGCACTTTGTGCCCCAGGTGCTTGTCTCCTAGCCGAGGACGCCTCTATAATCCGGTCTCTGGGAGCGGGGGCGTGGGGCTGCACATGCGCACTGCGAGTCCTCGCCTACTCCCAGAAACCACTCGGAACACGCGGTGCGGCAGCCGCTTCAGATTGGCGGGCTCCAAGGACACGTGAGTGGGCAGCGTCGCCGTTTCTCTTTTGTTGGACGGTATTTTCCCAGCGCCACGCGGAGCCTGGGCCATTATGAGGTTTGTGTTGCGTCGGGGCGGTCTGTCTCAGAGGCACTCCGGGGAGGAGTGGCCGGCGAATGGCTGGAGGCCCAGGGATCCGTGCAGGCGACCCGGCCTGAGTGTGGAGGAGGCGGGTGCCTGACAACAATGCGCGCGTGATCTGTGTGTTGGCGTTTGTGTACACGGAGGGCATTATTAAAATTACTCTTTGTGTGAATGGTTCTATCCCAGAGTAGGCGACTGGAGCATTGAAAAAGGCCCAGTTACAGTTTTAGGAACCAGAGCTGCACGCTAAACAGTGTTTTCTTTTGACCGTGAAATCTTTCGTTCTTGGAATTTGTTAGGAGCGTGGTTGAAAATGGGTGGCAGTGGGTTCGAGAATCTGGTCACTGAAGTTTTCTTCCTTCTCCTTAGCTCTGCATTTCCAGGACCCGGTCACTGTTCAGGACACTGTTCCAGCGCAGTTGTCATTAGCCATGTCTCAGGTAAGTTTTTGTTTTATCTTCTTTTCCTGCAACATCATAGGTTTTAAGTCCTGGGCACATCTACTTTTGCTTACTTGGATGGTAAAGACTGACACCGAGACAAGGTTCAGGTCTTTTCATTCAGCAACACATGGGACTATCGGGACCTCTCAGAGTCCATGTCCTGTACTTTAGTGTTCCTTTATTCACTGAATGAATTAATCTGAATCTCCATTGTCACCAGTCTTCTTTTAAGCAGTATGTGGTGGGTCAAAGATACTGTCCCTGGAGAAGACGAGAGCCTTTATCCGGGGACTGTCATCTTCTTGAAGTAGAGGTGAATACTCCGTCATCTTTGACTTTCTTTACTGCTCCAGACTGAGAGGACGCAGCATAGAAAATGCTAGTGAGTGATTTAGGCTCAGTTATGGTAATCTGCCTTTGGAAATTTGGAGGAATGGGAATGTGATTGATGTCTCGAGCATGAAGTCCAGGTTAACAAAGTCAGGCCATTTATTAGGACATTAGTCAAAGATGTGTTTTGGATCAAAGGTTCCAGTTTGAAGTTGGGCAGCTTAAAATAAAGTCACAGGCTTCATCTGTGGAATTCTGGGAAAAACCTATTGGCTTTCTGTTAATGAGGAACAAGAAGTCTGCTGCAAGGGACAAGATGGATGAGCTGGCTATATTTCCCAAAATAGAGTTCTCTTCAGGGTGTTTGCATGGTCTCTGAAATTTTGTGCAAATACAACCAGATTTGATTCTTAGCCTGCTAAGTGTAGACACCAAGACATTTTGTTTGAAAAATAGATTTTCTTCTCAAAGGGGAAACTTATATTTTCTTTCTTTTCTTTTTTTTGAGACGGTGTCTCCTTCTGTCGCCCAGGCTAGAGTGCAGTGGCACAATCTCGGCTCACTGCAAACTCCGCTTCCCAGGTTCAGGCCGTTCTCCTGCCTCAGCCTCCTGAGTAGCTGGGACTACAGGCGCCCGCCACCAGGCCCGGCTAATTTTTTTTTTTTTTTTTTTGTATTTTTAGTAGAGACGGAGTTTCACAGTGTTAGTCAGGATGGTCTCGATCTCCTGACCTCATGATCTGCCTGCCTCGGCCTCCCAAAGTGCTGGGATTACAGGCGTGAGCCACTGCGCCCAGCCTGTATTTTCTTTCTTTTAGGAAAACAGGCAGTATTTTCCTTACTCATTCTGTTTTGGATTTTGAAGAATTTCAGATTAGGGATATTCAACCTGTATCTTTTGGTGATCTTTTAGAAGATGTAGTTGTAGAAAAAATACTGGCATCTGGGCACCCCTGTAGTCCCAGCAACTTGGGAAGCTGAGGCAGGAGGATCACTTCAGCCCAGCATTTCAGCACTGTAGTGCAGTGTGATCACACCTGTGAAAAGCCACTGCATTCCAGCCTAGGCAGCATAACAAGACCCCTCTCTCTTAAAAGATAAAGAAAATACCGGCATCTGAAGAATATCAAGAAAAAATATTCATTAAAAATACTGTAGTCTGCCTCATTGATGGTGACAGAATTCAGGATAGCAAGAGGTGTGTCTTGAAGCAATCTTGGGGAATCTTGGAGGTGCTGGTAACACTCAGTTTCTTGATCAGGGATCTGCTGATGGGTGGATTGTTTGTGTAAACTGATCATATTGGACATGAATTCATCATATTGATCATGGCTTACTGCAGCCTCAACCTCCTAGGTTCAAGCAGTCCTCCTGCCTCAGCCTCCTGAGTAGCTGGGACTACAGGTGTGAGCCACCATGCCTGGCTAATTTTTTAATTTTTTTGTAGAGACGAAGTCTTGCTGTGTTGCCCAGGCTTGTCTTGAACTTCTGGGCTCAAGCAGTCCTCCTGCCTTGGCCTCCCAAAGTGCTGGTGTGGCAGGCCACGTCTCGCCAAACACAGGTCTCCGTAACAGCTGTTTCAGTACTGACAGACAGGTTAAATATTAAAAGCCAGTACCCTTATACAGCAGCTGGAATGTAACAAAAGCCCACCAAGAGTTTTGCCTTGGCCTTTCCTGGGCCTTAAAGCATGACAAAATAATGAAGGGATTCTTAATTGGACCCATTTAGGATGAAACAAGTTTTACTGGGGGGTCTGAAGAAACTCCCTGCGCCTCCACAAATAAGTTTATTGGAGGTCTGAAGGAACTCCCCAAACCACCGTGGTTTAGCAGGAGACAAGATAAGGGTAATCACTCCAGCACCCTACACCCATTTAGATTAAGTAAATTTACTGAGGCTCCAGAGGAAGGTCTTCAAGACTCAGTCTTTGGTTATAGATTAAAAGAAGTTAATCACTTGTCTTTAGATGAATGCATACCTACACGTAGATATATAGCTTAGAAGGTATATAAGCTCTGGAAAACTTTGTAATTTTGAGTTGGTCTGGCAGTAATTTCCAGGTCTTCTCCCTGTAACTGGCTACAGAAATAAAATCTCCCTTCCTCCCCAGTTCATCTGCATCTCGTTATTGGGCCTCAATAAATAGCAGCCTGACCCTCAGCTTAGTCCAGCAACACTGGGATTATAGGTGTGAGCCACTGCACCCACCGATACTGATTTCTTAAACCCCACATTCAAGTGAGAAAAGAGGAACCTTCTCTGCCTCATGTTTAGTACAATAAAGTTTCAATAGCTTTTGACCTTTGTACTGTTGTTACAGATGGTGCAGGGGTGTATCTGGAAAGGACGACACAGGGCAACTGTATATGATTGGAGTAATTGGGAATCGTAGTTGTATTATGAGTTGATGAAGTCCCAGGATATTGGAAAGGAAAACTAACCATAGGCTGGGCATCCTCAGTTCTTCCCAGCTTCTTCAAAAGTAGCTGAGGATGAAACCTTCCTTGCTTCTGTTGCACACCTGATGGAAGCAAATAAGGTGAAATAATAACACATCTGCTGCAGTTTTCGGACCATTACATCTACTACCCTAAAATGTAGCTGCAAGAGCAAGGACTACTTTATTTCGTATGATTCTATGGGTGAGGAATCCACACTGAACTCGACAGGGTGGGAATGATTAATCTCTGATCCTATAATGCCTGCTGGGGCCTGAATCCCCAGATGGCTTCTTCATTCATATATTTTATATTTAGCTAGACTAGCTGGAGTCATATATCTGGGCCACTGTTGTTTGCTGCTAGCTGAGTTCCTCAGCTTTATTTGATGTAGTCTCAGAATCCCTCACTCGCCATTGGCAATGTCTCATTGGCTTTTCTTATGTGTGATGAGCCCCTATGAGGGCAAAACGGAAGATGCCAATCCTTCCTAAAGCTTTCACCTGGAACTAGTTAGTGTTACTTCTGTCACATTCTGTTGATTAAAGCAAATTGTAGGTCCAATCCAGATTTAAAGAAAGGAGACTATATTTTGTTTCAGCAAAAAAGTAATTTGTAAGTTATTCTGATGCTCACACTAAAGATCCATGATAGAATTGATCATGACTGGCTTTCGACAAAGTCAATGTGTGGTCATACTATGAATATGTAAGATTATGAAATCAACTGTGATAGTTCCTTTACAAATTGGTTTTGAATACATGGATACACAATTTCTGGGCAATACATTTCTTAAATTATTCAATGTTTTTTGAATCACCCTGTTCATCTTGAATGTTTCCCTTATTAAGTATTTTTCTATACCCAAATTTTAACAAACACTATTTCACAGTATTGTTCTTCAGCAACTTAAATAAACTGCTCTTACAAGACACAGAGTCCTTATCAGCTCCTCCCAACTTCCAGTTATTTACTTGGACTCTTCTAAGAAAGTGTTTGTCATTTCAGGGATCAGTGACATTCCAAGATGTGGCCATTGACTTCTCCAAGGAAGAGTGGGGATTCCTGAACCCTGCTCAGAGAGATTTGTACACAACTGTGATGTTGGAGAATTATCAGAACCTGGTCTGGCTGGGTAAGTGCTTAAAGCCCTTAATTCAGCATGTCTTGAGCGTGTCTTTTTTTTTTTTTTTTTTTAATACTGGGAGTCTTTGGTGAGATTCAGAATTTACATGAGATGTGGAAATTGAAGTGAGCAGCTTTCTTTATCCTATCTGCCAGATATTCTAATTTTTTTTGTTTTTATAATGGCTTGTGTTTTGATTACAGTGTTGATCTGTCAGAATACCTGAGTAACCAGAGCATAGCCAATTCTTTCTGTTTATTTTCACAGGACTTTCCATTTCTAAATCTGTGATTTCACTGTTGGAGAAAAGGAAACTGCCTTGGATAATGGGAAAAGAAGAGATAAGAGTCCCATTGCCAGGTGAGTATGAAGAACCAACTAGCGGGGGTAAGCCATGTATATGAAAGGCATACCAGTTCTAGAGGGCAAAGCACCTTTAAGATGTGAAGGATGCTGTCTTCCACTGTTCCATACACATGTAGACATTGAGGCTTCTTGAGTTTGAGTTCCTAAAAGGATACTGATCACCCACCGTTTATATCTACTTTTATAAATGCCTGTGGGCTCAGAAATTACAGGTGTGTCTTTCCTCTTTGTCTATGGTAAGCTTCTTTTTAAACTCAGTATCCTGTTTCTCCAACTTTTTTTTTATTTGATTCTTTGATACTGTTGTTTTCTTTACTGTAAAATGACTTATATAGTGGTCTGATTGTTTGAATGGGTATATTCATTGGTCATTTATTCATTAACATTCATTCCTTTTTTAAAACTAATCAACTGTTGAGAGTCCCCAAGACCACCTCCAGGTTCAAGGACTTACTAGGAGTAGTCACAGGAGTCATGATATCGTTGTATTCGTGCCTGCAAAGTTAGTGAATAGTCTAGAAGAACACCATCATTCTGATGCCAGCTGAAAAGTATGGGGATCCCCAAGACCACCCTGAATTCTGACATGAATTGCAAATCCAAAGGTCCCCAAGATAATTAGGTTTGATAATTCACGAGGACTCACAGAACTTACTGAACTCACTGAAAGCTGTTATACTCATGGTTACAGTTTATTACCATGAAAGGATACACGTTAAAATCAGCCAAGGAAAAAGACATGGGCAGAGTCTAGGAGGACTTCCATTTATGCCCCTACAGTGGAGTCATGGACAGTGTTAACTCCTCCCAACAATGATGTGTGGCAATATGCACAGTGTTTGACCAACCAAGGAAGCCTACCTGACCCTTGGTATCCAGACTCCTCATTAGGGCACCATCATGTAGACATGGCTGACTGCTCATGTCTCACCTCAGGCTCTAGCCCTTCTGGAGGTCGCCCTAATATCATGTGACCTGGAGCCCCACATAAATCACATAATTTGACTCTCTGGTGTGGTCCAACGCCCATAGGCAAATAGAGACACTTTTATCATGCAGGATATTTCAAGGTGTCAGAGATTACCTCCCAGGAGCCAAGGGCAAAGACTAGACCTCTCTTTGGAAAAGGTTAAATTCTTGACTGCACAATGGCTAAGTTTTATTTTAGCAAAAGATATAAAGCAAAATCAGCAAAGGTAAGCTCATAAGGCAAGGTCTGGAGGAAATCAGGAATGTGCTTCTGAGATTCCTCTCCCAGTGGAGTCACAAAGGAGGTACTTAATTCCTCTAGCAGCAACTTGTGTGGTATGTGTGAGATGATAGCAGCTAGATAACATTAGACTTAGTGCCAAGGAATTTTACTTAGGGAAGCCATAAAGGTACCCTCTGCCTAGTGTATGCTGAAAATCCAGACTCTCAAAACGAAAGTAGGTGTTCTGCATAAACCACATCATCTGCACAAATAGTTTAGGTGTGATAAGTCACTTGTACCAGTTCCAGGAATGGTAGAAACCCTCCTGAAACCCAAGTTCCTTAGAGGTCAATCGGGCCAACCTTGTAAGCACACCTTTCTTAGGAGAACAGTCTCAAAGCCTGCTGTGTTCTTTTCTGAGTTTGTTTAAAGGTATAGAAACTTGCAGTGAGTTTACATTTGAGTGAGGGGATTAAGACTTGCTTCCACAAACCTTGTGCAAAGTAGAAACTAATTAACTGGTAGAAACTAATTAAAACGGGTTATTTTGGTGTGTGGGAGTTAGTAGAGTTTTAGCTTCAAAACTTGGTGATATTTAAAGTTACAGAAAGTGAGGAAATGAAGTACATTTCTGCTATATTTATTTAGGGAATTGTTAGAATTAAGATATGTCTTGAACTGTCCATTAGAAATATGTAACTGGATCTCAATAGTAATTCAGAATTGGAGATGAACGTGTTTTCTATATGTTTTGTGGTGATGGACCCTTAGGAATGGAAGAAGTGAATTGCCTATGGATAGCAGAGAAGGACTGATTGATTGGTAGCAGGAGAAACAGGAAACATCCTGTGTTAGAATTCCAGGGCCTCACTATTCATGAAGAAAAGGTAACCAAAGTAAGACCAAGACATTAGAGTAAGACAACATTGAAAGGTAGTTGGTATCTGACTAATTTATGGTTCTTGCTAAAATGGATATTTCTGTGGTGCAAAGGATGTAGAACAATGAGCTTGAATCGTCACATTTGGTACTAATCTTTTATTTGAGTTCATTTTAAAAATCATTAGGCCTTGTGGTGGAGGTCCCCTGTAAAACCAGCTCCTCTTGCACCCTTCATGAGGTTAGCCCTGTCCACTGTCTACATACACAGTTCAATCTGGAAAAAACTGGGATTCCCACATGTTTAGTGCATGAAGAACAGGCCAGACTCAGTCATTTGTAATTGACCACGGTTCTGTTCTTAACTTTTACATCAAGCACAGCCAGCATCTCTGCCCTTTAGCTCCTAAACAGTAAAAATAACTACAGGTTAGAAGGGTATTATGTTCGTCTTTGTCGCAAATCCTATTGCCTTTCTTTAATTTTTGATCATGTTGATCAGCCTTCCTGTAATGCCATTTTGGCTTCTGCAGTTCCCCACAGTACATGTTTTCTTAAGCTCTAAATCTGTTTCCTTGCAGCCTGCACTTGACCCTCTTATTTTTCCTGTTTGCTTAGCGATCTCTTCAATCTCAAAATGTCTGTATCAACGAGAATTCATGCCCTGTCTGCCCCTGATTATATGATTGATTTTATTGTTTCTATATTATGTCAAATTGTTTTCTGCAGTAAACTAACTGGAGGTGCCTTCTATCTGGACACATTAATTCCTCCGGTTAATGCGTACATATACATACAGAAACTATCGTTTACCTTTTTGTGTTTTGAAACTTGTGGTATAACTTAGCACATAAGTCTGCATCTTGTTCTTTTCACTGAATACATTATCCTGCAGGTCAGAAAACAGCTGAAGTTCAGTCTTTTTAGTAGCTGAGTAGTACTACAGATAGAGATATACCATGGTTAATGATGAGGGACACCTAGTTTGTTTCCAATGTAAAGCCTATTTCAATAAGCATTCTTATCAATATAACTTTAAAAACTGGTAGCTTAATTTCTTGAGTAGGTGCCTAAAGTGGGTTTGAAAAGATAAAAGGCGGGTGTGTTACATTAGTTTAACTTGCTTCTGTTCATTAATTTTTTTTCCCCGTTCAGATGCACCAGGTGCAGAGATTAAGGAGTTATCTGCAAAGAGGGCTATTAATGAAGTATTATCTCAGTTTGACACAGTGATAAAATGTACAAGAAACATATGTAAGGAATGTGGAAATGTATACTGCCACAATACGCAGCTTACTCTCCGTAAGAGAAATCACACGCGAAAGAAATGCAATCAGTGTTTAGATTGTGGGAAACACTTCACTCGTCGGTCAACTCTCATTCAACATCAAAGAATCCACACGGGAGAGAGACCCTATAAATGTAACGAATGTAGTAAAACCTTCAACCAGAGGGCACACCTTACCCAGCATGAGAGAATTCACACGGGTGAGAAACCTTACAAATGTAAGGAATGTAGGAAAACCTTCAGCCAGATGAGTCATCTCACACAGCATCAGAGTACACATACGAGAGAAAAGTTCCATGAATGCAGTGAATGTGGAAAGGCCTTCAGCCGTTCCTCAGCCCTTATGGATCACCAGCGAATTCATAGTGGAGAAAAGCCATATGAATGTAAGGAGTGCGGCAGAGCCTTCACTCAAAGTGCCCAGCTCATTAGACATCAGAAAACTCATTCTGGAGAAAAACCCTATGAGTGTAGTAAGTGTAAGAAATCTTTTGTGCGCCTGTCTTCCCTGATTGAACATTGGAGAACTCACACTGGAGAAAAACCGTATCAATGTAAGGACTGCAAAAAGACCTTTTGTCGTGTCATGCAGCTCACTCTGCACAGGAGAGTTCATACTGGTGAGAAACCCTATGAATGCAAGCAATGTGGAAAGGCCTTCAGCGCCCATTCTTCCCTTGTTACTCATAAGAGAACACACAGTGGAGAGAAACCGTATAAATGCAAGGAATGTGGAAAAGCCTTCAGTGCGCACTCTTCCCTTGTTTCTCATAAGAGAACACACAGTGGAGAGAAACCTTATAAATGCCATGCCTGTGGGAAGGCCTTTAATACTTCCTCCACACTTTGTCAACATAATAGAATTCATACTGGTGAAAAACCCTTTCAGTGCAGGAAGTCCTTTAGATGCAGCTCTCACCTTACTTGACACTGTAGAATGTGTAATGGAAAATGTTAGCAAATAACCAAAACTCAAAATGTTAATTCTGATTATTCCATATCATCACCAGTACTTTGTACTCTTGAGTCTTTAAAAATATGCTATCTTAGTTTGTATGGAATGATACTTCATTGTACTTTTGATTTAACTTAAAAATGCCTTCCCTTGACTACTGATATATATTTTTTGTGAAGTGTAGAAGTCTTGCTGATTATTTTTTAAATTAGAGGTTTTTCTTCATGTCCAGTTATGAGAGTTCACCAGATTTTGGAAATATTTTCTATTCTGTAACCTACCTTTTCACTTACATAATGGTGATAAAACAAAAGCTTTAAGTTTGATCACATCCAATTAATCACATTTTTTAATGGTTATGCTTTTATTTATTTTTCAGACAGGGTCTCACTCTGTCACCCAGGCTACAGTGCAGTGGCACAATCATGACTCACTGCAGTCTCTGCCTCCCGGGCTCAAGCGATCCTCCCACCTCAGCCTCCCAAGTAGCTGGGACTACAGGCATATGCCACCACACCTAACTAATTTTTATATTTTTTGTAGAGACTAGGTTTCCCCATGTTGTCCAGGCTTGTCTCGACCTCCTGAGCTCAAGCAGTCCATCTGCCTCAGCCTCCCGAAGTGCTGGGACTACAGGCGTGAGCCACCATGCCTGACCTAGTTATGCTTTTTATCTTCTAAGAAGTATTATTTATTCTATGCTGAGCCTATGTAGAATTTCTTACATGTTTTCTATAGCTATTTTGTATTTTTACCCTTTACAGTTAGATCTATTTCATGTTTTTATTATGGATAATGGAGGAGGTAAAGGTTGAATTATATTTTCCCCTGTATTATTGACCCACAGTGACACCAGTTTTGGGAGATGTCTTTCATTTTCCTCCTTATGTTGTTATTGGCACCTTTTGCAAAAGTCAGTTATCATGGGTACCCTTCTGAAATAATCTGTTTCATCAATCTCTGTCTTCTCAGCAGTTCCACATTGTCTTAATTATAGCTTTAGAGGAAGTCTTGAAATTTGGTAGTGTAAGTCTTCCAGTTTTGTTGTTATTTTAACAAACTCTAGGCTGGGCATGGTGGCTCATGCCTATAATCCCAGCACTTTAGGAGCCCCAGGCGGGAGGATCACTTAAGCCCAGAAGATCAAGACCAGCCTGGGAAACATAGCAAGACCTTGTCTCTACAAAAAAATTTAGAAATTAGCTGGGCATGGTGGCGCACCCATCTGTAGTCCTAGCTACTCGGAGGCTAAGGTGGGAGGATCGCTTGAGCCCAGGAGTTCAAGGCTGCAGTGAGTTGTGATCACACCATTGTGGTCCAGCCAGGTTGACAGAATGAGACCCTGTCTCTTAAAAAAAAAAAAAAAAAAAAAAAAAAAAAAAAATCCTGGTGATGCTTTCCTGGGTTAAAAAATAAAATACAAATAAAATAAAAATTGGCCTCACTACTCTAGCTTATTTGCATTTTCTAATAAATGTTCAGAGTCACCTTATCAGTTCCTACCAAAAAGCCTGTCAGTACTATAACTGAGATTGCATCAACTCTGCAGATAAATCTGAAGAGAACTGACACTTAACAGCAGTGACTTCCAGTCTGTAACCTTAGCATAACTTCTATTTCAGTCTCCTTTAATTTTTCTCAGAAATACTCTGTAGTAGGCCGGGCGCAGTAGCTCATGCCTGTAATCCCAGCACTTTGGGAAGCCAAGGCAGGCGGATCACCTGAGATCAGGTGGGCGTGGTGACTGGCACCTGTAATCCCAGCTGCTCAGGAGGCTGAGGCAGGAAAATCACTTGAACCTGGGAGGTGGAGTTTGCAGTGAACCAAGATCGCACCACTGCACTCCAGCCTGGCGACAGAGCGAGACTCTGCCTCAAAAAAAGAAAAAAAAGAAATATCCTGTAATTTTCTATATAGAGATCTTGAATGTATTTTCTTAAGCTTATTCATAGACATTTTCACAATATGTAAATTGGTTTGTCTTTTACTTTTCCAGTTGTTTGCTACTTGTACATGAAAATACGTTGAGTTTTGTACATTTGTCTTGCATGTTGTCTGGAACATTTCACTTATTCTTGGAGTTGTCATGTAGATTTATTGATTTTTTTCATAAGCAATGGTGTCATCTGCAAATAGAAAGTTTATTCATTTCTGGTCTTCATGCTGTCCTTTTTTTTCCTCCTCTTATTGCAATTGCTGTGTGACCTCCAGGACAGTGTTGAATGAAAGTGATAAATGTAGGCACCTTTGTTTTACTTTCAATCTTAGGAGGAAAAACTTAATGGGGAAGAAGTGGCAACTCTGAGTCAGGATGTAGACTTCTTAGCACGTGCATTTGAGCACCTTGCTCAATCCCCAGATTTCCCTATACCTTCTATGCTCCCTTTAAAACAATGCTTTCTTCCACATATCTTTCCCCCAAATCAATAATGGGTCAAATTTCAGCAACCCCAAACTGGGGAAGTTCTGGGACTGCTGTGGTAAGAACTGGATTCAGACACTAAAGGAGCTGTAGGACCTGGCTAACGTACAAGCAAGAACCAGAAGAGTATATGTGGGAGGAGATGCTGAGACTGCTGCATCAGGGGGTAGAATACAAAGTTGAATAGGGGAGAGTTTTCTGCTATGAGGTCACTGTATGACAGGATTAACACACTGGCAAGGGAAAAAGATGCTTCTAATGGATGCTGGAACAGTTTTTGAAGCTTGGAAAAAGCATTGGTTCTCATTTAGAAAATGGAGATAGCAGAACTGCCACGACAAATGAGGACGGGATCAAAAGAAGTGGATATACAAGAAGGGAGAACAAGTATCATGGAGATGGCCAATAGTGGCTGTCCCTAGGCGAGAGCTGGCTGCAAGAGGTGCTGTTAGGGAACTGGGCTCTCTAGTTGCAATGGGAATGATAGGATCTCAGAATAATGGCAGCAGCCAGGTGATAGCTCTTGGCATCAAAAGCAAGGAGAGCCATAATTACCATATGGGTAGAAGGTTTATAATAGTATCTGCGGAGATTGATCTTCAGAAATCTATGGTTCTGGCTCATAGCACGAGTTTGCCAATGGCAAGTCATCTGCTGCCAATAAGAGTAAACTGAGACAATGTGTTGCTCTGTAGACCAGGCAGGAGTGCATGGCATGATCACAGCTCACTGCAACCTTGAACTCCTGGGCTCAAATGATGATCCTCTCACCTCAGCCTCCCAAGTAGTTGGGATACAGGCACATGCCACCACACCTGGCTAATTTTTCTGTTTCTTTTAGAGATGGGGTCTCCCTTTGTTGCCCAGGCTTGTCTAGAACTCATGGTATCAAGTGATCCTCCTGCCTCAGCCTCCCAGTGTTGGAATTACAGGCGGGAGCCATAGTGCCTGGCCCAAACTTAATTAAAAAACCAGAGAAGGCAAGGTGCAGTGGCTGACACCTGTAATCCCAGGACTTTGTGAGGCCAAAGTGGGAGAATTACTTGAGCCCAGGAAATTGAGACCATCCTGGGCAACATAAGAAAA